CTTGCCTGTGCTTGCTTGTCCTTCTGCTTTATAAGGCTGGTTGGGTCTGGTGTTCGTGGTGCAGACTGGTGCTGCTTCTTACACCTCAGCTTTGGGAAGGGAAAAGTTCTGATCCGTCACCAAAACCCTTCCTGGGTAGGGAGAGGGCTGTAGGATTTGGGCGACAGATGGTGACACTGTCCATATAGCTTTGATCAGCTGTTGTACATGTTGCCTCTAGGAAAATCAACTGCTGGGAATTTCCTTCTTAATCCTCTTGAGCCCAAGAATGCAGATAAGCTCAAAGTGAAGATAGCTGACCTAGGAAATGCCTGCTGGGTGGTAAGTTTACAATCTTTTCACATTGACTATTTAAACCTGCTAATTCATTCACAGCATGCCAAGATGGAAAGGAATCTGTAAAATAGATTCTATCTTGGACCTGCTTGTGAAAGTAGTGACGGTTTGAAACGGTGTTGGGGGGGAAAAAGGAGGAGGGAGCAGGGACGTGAAGAAATGGTCCTGTGACGTAGGATTTCAGCCTGTGTTCTGGGTGCCCTTCAGTCATCAGATCACTTCTGACAGGCCCATGAAGTGTCACATAAAACTTGTGGAAATCTGCATATGCGAAACTTCTGGAGTCTGAGCTCTCCTGGAGCATGAGGAAGCTGCAACCAGTCGCTCTGATGTGCTAGTTCTGTAGCTTATCAGCTTGTCAGAGCCTTTCAGCCGATTCGTGAGCGCATGAAAGACTCAGAAATAGTTTTGTTCTTTGATGGTGTGCTGTGCTGCTTTTCAGGGTTTGACGTTTCAAATAGAAGAAATGTCTTTTGCTTGGCTGCTTAAATGGCAGAATACTTCAGATCGTAGGGGAGAGATGAGTCTCAGACTCAGAATTGCCCATCAGGCTTGCAGCGTCTGGCAAGGTGGTTCTCCCACAGCGGTGTGGCTTGTGTGCTTGAAGGCAGCTGAGTCATGGGCTGGCTGCTGTGATCGGGTAAGAGGGGGTGCAGCTTCTGAAACAGGCTTCCCTTACTCTGTTTTTGTGGCTTGCTTTCTTCCAAATTGCTGGACTGTTTTAGTTAAGGAGGAGTGTCTCATGGAGAGCTTTTAAACAGTACCTGTAGGAATACAGGGAGATGCTTAATGAGGATGGGAAATTCAGCTGAAATGTAGTGGGAGTGAGCTTTGATCAGCTCTGGCCTTCCAGGTGGTTGACTCTCCTCTTTTAAATGCTCTCTAATTGTTTAGTAAAATGTTTCTTCCATTTAGCACAAGCACTTCACTGAAGACATCCAGACAAGACAGTACCGCTCCCTGGAGGTGTTGATAGGATCCGGGTATAACACCCCTGCTGACATCTGGAGCACGGCCTGCATGGTGAGTGCTGTCATCCGGGGGTTTTAAACTGGTTCTGGGGAGCATTCTGGGAAACTCGTGTGTGCTGTGCACAGTCACTAGCCAAGCCTGGCAAAAAACCCTCACAGGTGTTCAGCCAGCTTCCAGGCTTGCTGAATACCATGTTTCCCTACCAAAATTGTTTCTTTTATTATTTTTGTTTTTGCTACGTGTGGCTTTCCTTTGGAAAGTTAGTTTTGTTGTACAGCACTGGCAGATTTCAAATATAACTGCACTTTGACACCAAGCTTTGTGGAAAAATGAGACGACTGTGCAATTGTGAAGACAAAATCTTTTTAAACAAAGAGCTTTCTGCTGCATCCATCACTGTTTCACAGATGTCTGCAGTAAAAATTCATATTTTAATCATATGCATCCTCTGCATGCTTGGAATCATTTGTAATCTGAGCAATGCTGAGGCCGAAGCTGTTCCTGTAATAGCTGACAAATGTAGAATGTGGTGATTTGTAAAGAAAAAAACAAAAAAATCAGTCTAGGCATGTGCCTCTGGTGTCTCCATCCTGTGTTTTCTACAAATCGGAGCTTGAGGTTTATTTTTTAAGCTTGGAAGACAATAGGTGAAGTAATTTTTGCTGGCTTGGGAAACAAGCTGTGATTTTTTTTTATTTTTTTTTTTTAATTTTTTTTGGATGAATGTGGTAAAACAGAATGCGGTAGGATCATGTTGTCTCTGCAGACTGTGCAGCCAAAATTATGTGGTGGTTACTCTGCTTAATGCAGTAGCTAGAGTACAGCAGCACATAAAAAAACCTAAGAATACAGAAGGTCAGAGGTACTGTTTTGAGTAGAAGTGAATACCTAAAGGGTAAACGAGTCGTGGAACTCGCGAGTGGTGAGTTGAAATGAATGTGAATGTGTTTCTCACTTAAAGTTTTGTATCTACAGGTGAATGTTCAGAGATTAACTGCTTGAAAAATGTCTTTTTAATATCTGAAATTTGGAGGGAGGGGTGAATCTTTGTGAATAATCTGGATGTGATGTTTCGCAAAACGCCGTTGAGGCGCAGAGGGGCTGAGCCTGTGAAGTGCCTCCAGTTTGTCCAGTCTCACGCAAGCGAACTGCCTTGTGCTGCGACCCAGAGTTCATCGCGGGTGTACATCATCGATGTAGTTGCACATCGTGAGATGGTGATGGTGAACTAGAGTTCTACGGGTCACTCTTCCCACCGCTTTGCTTCTGGCCCGCAGAGAGATGCAGAATCGACCTGCAGGACATCCAGCCCTGTGTGAAGCGCTCTGAAGCGACTTAACCTGCTCGTTTCTGTTTGTTTAGGCCTTTGAGTTAGCAACAGGGGACTATCTCTTCGAGCCTCATTCTGGGGAAGATTACTCACGGGATGAAGGTGTGTTTGTCTAAGTCTTTCCTTTTTAAAATGGGATGTGACACCTCTTCAGAATGAGCTTTCTGTTGCGAGTTAGCGGCGCAAAGGCTCCCTGCAAAGAGGTGGTTTACCCAAATCAGGGGTGTTAGGGGACAGCTGTGCTCCAGCCCCTGCAGTAAACCACTGCGCAATAAAGTCCATGTTCCTGTTCTGATGTTTTCCAGTCCTCTGTCTTGCTTCTCAAACTGTTCCTGCCTCAAATGGCCCTTACCTTTTTTTTTCCCCCCTTGCCTTTGTCCTTGCTTAATGTAACCTGATTTCAGGTGGATCTCGGAGTAATTTTTAAGGGAGATAGTGTCTTTGTCCTTATATCCCAGAGAAGGAAACTGGGCATCGAGATGTCTTGTGTGGCTGCGTCTCATTGTCTTTTCTTTTGAAAAAATGCAGATCACATTGCATTGATCATAGAACTTCTGGGGAAAATACCTCGCAAGCTCATTTTGGCAGGAAAATATTCCAAGGAGTTTTTCACCAAAAAAGGTAAAAAGGAAACAAAGGAAATGTCACTCAGCCCCTCGTCCCCTGCCCCAAATATTTCCAGTGCCTTGCTGGAAATACCAATTAACAATAGATGCAAGCAAAGATGCCTGTTCAAGGCTTTCCTTTGTTTTATGAAAGGCTTTCTCAGTAAAACCGCAGCTAAATATAAGGCGTTCTTCTCTGACTGCTAAAAGTATCCTGCGCCCTAGGACTTCACATCTGGGTGCAGATCAAACGCAGCAGGTAGAAAAGCAGTCCTGTAGATGTTTACTCAGACTTGATTTGGTTTTATTTAGCTGATCTTTGTCAAGAAGAAGTGTTGACTCACCTTTGAAGTCTTCTCCAGATGCCTTTGTTCCATTTCTAGCATGCCAGTCACCTACATCATGCCTTGCTTCCCGAGCTGTGCTGCTCGGGATGCGCTCTGCCTTGTTGCTGATCAGAAAGCCCTTGGTCCTTCAAATTTACTGAGTCTCAAGAAGAAGTTTTTGACCTAGTTTAATACTTTTCTTTTTTTTAATAAAACCGTTTTTTAGTAATGTCTTGCTTCCTCAAACGGTGCTGCGTGTATTCCAGAGTCAGTGTCGCAGTGTTTATCTGTCATGTCAACAGGTACAATCGGTGGTTTAATGGAGTTAAACAATATTGGGTCAGAAAGAGCAGGAGGGAAGGAAGAAGCCTTCAGGGAAGTACGTTTCTAGAACAGTCCTCAAAAGCAGATAGAAAAGGGGGTTTAGTGTCATCGATTTCTCCCTTCAGCATGCCCTGCCGTGCTGTACTCCCTGTGCCCGGCCATTCGGAGCCGATTCCGAATTCGGTCGGTCTGGTGTAGCCGCTCGGCCTGTTTTATTCAGCCGCTCTGCTCCCCCGTCTTGCGCTTACGCCTCTCTGTCTTGGTTTTCAGGTGATCTGAAGCACATCACCAAACTGAAGCCCTGGGGCCTTTTTGAAGTCTTGGTGGAAAAATACGAGTGGTCCCAAGATGAGGCAGCTGCATTCACAGACTTCTTATTACCCATGTTGGAGCTGATCCCGGAGAAACGAGCTACAGCAGCGGAGTGTCTCAGGCACCCCTGGCTCAACTCCTAGAGGCGTCGACCCAGCGCCGCAGCACTACACTCTGGTTTACAGCATAGCGTACACGCACCCACCTGCCCCTTCCCAGCTCCCTTGGTTTTGTGTTTTTTTTTTTGTTGTTGTTTTTCCCCTTGTTCATTTTCGGTGTGAAGTTCTTCCTTCAAGGCTTCCAAGATTTTAGATAAACCTAACCTGTTCTGCTGAGTTTGTTTGTGTGACTTGATGGGGACTCTCCTCAGCCAGTGGGCATCAGCTGTGTTTTGCCTTGATTGGGCTTCGCCAAAGACTCATTGACCTGACTATGAAGTTTTTTCCCTGAGTCTCCTCGCTGTTACGCACTGTGTGTCACAGGTGGGAGCTCACCTGTGCTCAGGTAGGCTCCCTTAGCTGAATTTGAACTCCCCTTTCCTCACGAGGGGGATGTGAAGATCCAAACTCCTCCTTATCTCGCTGACTCAGGAGTCCATTTCCCGCCGTTGATCCCGTAGCTAGCAATGGGGTGAGAAGTAACAGATGGCACCAAGGTGGTGTTAGTTCCTCGTAGAGCAAAGACCTCGAAATCCTCCCATCATTTTCTAGGTGACTGCTGTATTATTTGCTTTCCAGCCACGTAACTTTTCTTTAGTTCTAGCGGCTTAAATCTTTCGAAAAGAGCTATTTAAACCTAGGTTTTAGTCTCCTTTGTTTCTTCCTCCAAAGTGCCCTGGCCCTTTACTTTTTCCTTCCCTGTGCCCAGATAGTCAGAATAGTTTCTGAACTCGGTGACGTTTTCTACTTTCATGCCTGTGCCTGTGACTAAAAGATGACAAGCAAAATAAGCAAAAGCTGGAACTGACTCAACGCACAATCCTCCGCGTACAGATGGGTGCCCCCTTTCGCTGCAAAGAGGCAGCCTTGTTGCAGGCAACGCTTCCAACCTTTTAGTGAGCTGTAAGTTTTTTGGGTTTTTATCCCTTACTGGCACTTTTTTTGCCTTGCTTGAGGCGGTTGCTGTATCTGTGAGAGATTGATGGGCTTTCACTGATGCAGTCTACTCTGGCTCTTAATTTCTTTTCAAATTCAGTTTTTCCCAAGGGAAAAGGGTGGCAGCATCTGTGTCGCAGCCGTGCGGTAGCCCTTGACTTTCCAAATCAACACTTGAAGGCCCAGTGTAAAGATTTCTTTTCCTACTTCCTTCAGGTGCTGGCCTTCAGGAATAACTTCCCAGGGTGGGACTGCCTTTTATTTTCTGGGCTGTTAGCACAAGGAGAGCTAGAAGAAGTGGAAGAGAACTGACTTTTTCATGTAGATAGTGGATTAGAAGAGTTACCCCAAGTAAAAATGTTCTGTGGGGCTTCTGTATAAGCTGCTCAGAAGGGGGTTGGATATAATGAGTTAAATGGGTTAATTTTAATTGAAAGCTAAATCACTGTGGCATTTGATCATCTCATGATGGCTTCTTCTAGACTTGCCCATCCTATGACAGATTCAGTGCATCCTACTCTAATCTAAAGCAAGATTTGGCAGCGTTGAGACTTCAGAGGCGCTTCCTTCCCCTGGACCAAACAGGCCTTTGGATTCTTGGTGGCTCTCAGAGGACAGAAGTTGCTGCAGGAGCGTGCTGGAGGCTGCGCAGATGCTCTCGAGATGGTTACGTTGCCAAAGCTGCCAAAGCCCGCTGTTAGGTGTCACTTGTGTGTGTGTGTTTGGAAATCCCGGTTCGTTAAGGATCGTTCGTTCATAAACCTCCGTGTCATTTAATCAACTGGAAAAGAGTTTCTCCGGTCCAGTGCCTGATTGGGCTTATTAATGCAACTCATGCTGCATGTTCTCTTAGGAGTAGATCAGGTTCTCTATGCATATAATCTAAAATTAAAGGAAGGTAACATACCAAAAGAGTTTTAACTGCTGATTTGACGTTGGGTTTTTTTCCCCCCTTTCATCTGGAGTTTTCCAGTCGTGTGTCACTTCCCTGTCTGTTCCAGAAGGACTGCAGGCAGGACTGGGTTCCAAAATACCCGCTGTCTCCATCCTGTGAAGGTACATGGGCAGGGCAAACGATTCCTGGTGTCTTGAAAGCTCCCCCGGTCCTGCGAACTTGAGACTGGCTGATGAAAGAACTTTTCCCTGAAGGGGTCTGCACGCTTCGCCTCCGAGAGCTCCGTCCCCTCCCTCCCTCCCTTCCCTCTGCCACCCCTGACTGGAGGAGGAGGCTTTTACCGCGGCAGCCAAGGCTGGAGGTGGCTCGTGAGTTGAAGCCCCGCAGGAGCAGCTGTCAGGGTTCAGTCTCGTGCTGTGTGCTCGTTCACTTGAGGTTTGTTAAATTTCCAAATTGCCGTAAAGTGCTCACACTAACGGATTTGTACTTGCTGTGTCAGTCTAAAACCTGAAGGAAAATACATTTTTATTCTTTCTACTCGGGTGCTTTGTCTTTTTTTTTTCTTTGTGAAAGCCGTACAATAAAGAGATTATTTAATAACTGAGCCTTACTCCTCATACGTGCCCTCTGTAAGTCTGTTCCTTCTGAGCTAGTGGCCCATTGATTGAGTTTTCTTAGTTTTGATTTCCAGAATGCGGTGCAGGTGTAGGTGAACATTTTGTTGCTGGTATCATGATGGGTTTTAACAGGGGAAAAGAGTAGCCAAGAGCTGGAATTTTTCCATTTGAAAATGTTTTTCTCCAAGTCTGTCATATCTCTGCTGTCTTCCCTCGCAAAGAGCATTAACAAACCCTTCTCAAACACTTTTTTTTATTAGTGGGAATTGACTGCTGCAGGAACCAACAAAGAAATAAAAATGGTAATGGGGGCTAAGGGTGGGTTCTGGCCAGGGAAGAGCTGGATGGGATGATGTGCTGCTCTGCTCAGACACCCCCCGTGCCAGAGGCTGCTGCAGGTGGGCCTTGGAGGTGATGAGAGGTGGCGGCTCAATCGGATTAACGCCCGGTGCAGTGAGGTGATGCAGGCTGCCGCCATCTGCTGCGGTTTGCAGGTGCTGTTACAGGCCCCCTGCAGCCCAGCAAAGGTGTTTGGGGGGGCTTTTCCCCTCCCCCAGAAAAGGGTCCTTTTTTTAAAAGGTGTTTGGTTGTCGTTGCCCAACGGAAGCCAACTCCTGGCCTCGCTAGGAGCTGGCTGTGTCAGGGTATTTTTTGCCTACAAGGGTAACCTGGGACAGGGCAGAGGATCGCCCCTGCCCCACGGAGCTGCACAAACTCCAAAACACTAATGTTGGGGTTTTTTATTCAGAAGTTATTTCCTTGAAAGAAGGAGTACAAACCCCAAGAAGCAGCACCTTGCCACCTTCCCCTCTTCCCTAGGTTTGCTGATGGACTCAAAAAAAAAACCCAAACAAAACAAAAAAAAACAGCCTCTGTCCAGTTTGGGCTTTTCCTGTCAAATAAACTCCGTGAGAGCTGTGAGCCGATAGCGGCCCCTTTGGTGAACAGTTGTAGAAAATCCCTGGAACTGGGTAAGTGTAAAGCTCCTGGAAAAGTCACTTAAAAGGGCTGATGGAAGAAGAACTCTGAGTGTCCCTGGGAAGAGAAAGAATGGGTCAGCTGTTGCCAAATGGGGAATGACCAAATTTTAAGCTTTTTTGTCACTTTGCCAGGATTTATGTTTACCTGGTTTCAGGAGGCAAAGCAAAGACTATTTCCCTGTAAACCACAACTAGAACCAACGGGTCTGTGACCCCAGGATCTGTACTGTTGTTAATCCTTCAGTAATCAAAATACAAATCAAAATGTTACCTGGGCCGGGAAGAAACATTAAAAACCGCTGCAGGCATCACTTACCTGGTGATCAGCTCTGTCAGTCATTGCCTTCTTCTGTAAAACAAAAAGATAATTACTGTGTTAATGGGCTATAGGGATAACAACAGAGGTGCAGGTGTGTTTTCACCTGCAGTGTGATGACCACGACCGCTCCCCTGCTTCTCCCACGGGAGGGAGAAGCAACAGCAAACAGCGGAGGTGTGGAAATGCTCCGCAGCAGGACAGGTGCTCCGAGCTCAGCCCCAGCTGCCTTTACCTTTATTTTCCACTTTAAAATCAGAGGGGAGGAGGTTGTCCTGCCGGTTCCCCAACACGAAGGCCAGGAAGGAGAGGATGAGCGCGTCGAGGATGCCGATGATGCAGAGGATGTACGCCCAGCGCACGGTGCAGGCGCCCAGCGTGTACTTGTCCGTCTTGTCCCCGCACAGGCGCTTCACCTCGCTCGAGTCC